GGGCGGGTTTATAGGGTATACCCTTTGGCCGGTTGATGATGCATGGAGGCGATTGGAACCAAGGCAATGAGACAATATACGATGGAATGAATGTAAAACTAAAGTTCTCTCATGTAAAATATCATGTACTTCACAATAAAACATGAAAAAAAACCCAACATATATGACACATACTGGACTCCTTGGCACTGTAGGATCAGCAGTGAACTGTGAACCATAAGATCAGCAGTTCAAACCCACCAGCTGCTCCTTGGAAACCATGTACAGGGTCCCTATGAGTCAGAACGGACTTGACAGCACTTAACAGCAATAATAACATGAAATATACCAATACCTAACTTAAACTTTTTAGTAATTTTTCCAGGGGATCGAGCGTCTGAGGATCAATAAAAAAAATCTGTTTTGCCTGTTGTTGATTAACTTCAAATATAAAGAAAAAATAAACACAACGCCAGTTCTTATGAAGTGGAGACCCAATAAATCCCCCAGATACCACCCCCCAAAAATATTCCTTATGGTTATTGTGATTCTATGTGTGTGTTAAAGAGAGAAGGCACCATTGAAATTGATGTTAAATCTCTTTTTAGGTCACTTCTTAGGAATTCCTTGGATGATCTCCTTGGGCCACCTTCTAACCTAGAAGGCCAGAGTGATGAAAGGGCATTGCTGGACCAGCTGCACACACTCTTAAGCAACACAGATGCCACAGGCCTGGAAGAAATTGACAGAGCTTTGGGCATCCCTGAGCTTGTAAATCAAGTAGGTGGCATTAATGTGGAAGTGAGGAGGGGGAAGACAGAGAGAGAGTGAGTGAATGAGAGAGAGAGAGAGAGAGAGAGAGAGAGAGAGAGAGAGAGAGAGTGAGTGTATACACATGTACATGCATGTGAACTCACACCTAAGACTATCTCCATATGTGTCTCTTTTACTGCTGTGTTACATCACGGCTTTCATGATAATTGTGATACCACTTCCAGGAATCTACTGGTTTATAAAATGTCACATTGTAGAAACGATCCCACTAGGGAGAAACTTTTTAAAAATGCCCCTGATTACTTACTACTGAGTTCTCATTTCTGCAACTGTCTTTCTCTGCTGCCTCGCCATTCATTGCATACCCCAAGAGGCAAGTTTGTATGTATGTTAGTGTGAGCCATTTCCCTTTACAAGGCTAGATCTGTGACCATCTTGGCAACAACACCTTTCAGTCCCATCTTTATGAAAAGTTGCCAGCAGTGGACCTGTATTTGTGAAGCACATATGTCTTGAGCTGGGTCTTTTCAGGGCGTATGGGAGAGCACTGTGCCTTTAAGAAGCAGGAGAACTCGCGGCATTTTCAGTCTGTTGGAGACACACATACAAGGATTATGATGCAGTATGGCAGACAGTCATGGCAGACAGTTACGGAACTTCTTAAATCTTTCACGATGGAATTATTTCTTGCTTTGAATATTTTTGTTGAAACTGTGTTTTCAGTAATGGAGAAGGCATTTTGAAATGGGAAAAAAAATTTTTTTTTTTAAAGTAACAGGATTTTGATATAATTTGTTGTTTTACTGCTGTTGAGTTGGTTCTGACCCAGAGCAACTCTGTATAGGGTTTCCGAGGAGCGGCTGGTGAGCTTGAACTGCTGACCTTGCGGTTCAAACAGACTTTGCAGTCCAGCGCACTAGCCCACATTGCCACAGCCACATCAGGACTAGTGGGATACATGTGTCCTGAAGACTCTCAGGTGCTGGTGGAATGAGATCTGTTTTTATAAATTGAATTACATAGGATGCCACAGATGGTGGGATAACAGCTTCCCAACTAAACCCCTAAGGTAGAAAATGTAGGTGGGCATTATATGTCCCACGGACTACGAAAAGGTTAAAGGATAGGTGGAGGAAACTTCAGTCTCACACTGATGTATGGCTCCAGGAGCACGTGACTGGCCCTGGGGAGGGGCTGTCCAACCATGTTTAGGGGTGCACGTAAAGGCTACTTACATGGAAACTGGGAAACTGGAACTATCCCTGGAACTTGAAGCTGGAAATTGCTGTCTTTGTCCTGATGATAAAATAGTTAGTGGACTTTATAAAGACTTTTAACGGCAGAAGAATTCTCTTTTGTTGTTGTTAAGTGCAGTCTAGTTGGTTCCGACCCATAGTGACCCTGTATAGGGTTTCCAAGGTGAGCGTGAACCACTGACCTTGCAGTTCAAACCGTATTTTGGAGTCCAGTGTATTAACCATCAGCACCACACCAGGACTGCAAAATTCTCTGTAATCCTGCTAAAAAGAGAATTGTTAGTAAGTTTTTGGAATAAATATTTGTAGATCTCGAAAAGGTACATATGGAAATATTCATGAGTTTGTACTTTTTTATTAAATGGGAGCAGACTCTAAGGCATTTTGTAATAGGATTCACTCTGTGAATGCATCATTTTCAGAAATCTATTCATATTTATTTTATGTATATAATTTTACTGGGTGTGACGCTGTAGGCTAAGCACTGGGCTGCTGACCTCTAACGCCAGCCACTCTTTGAAAGCTCTATACAGGGTCTCTGAGTCAGAATTGACTCGACAGCACTTCATGACAAGGAGAACGTGTTGGACACATACTTTAACTAGTCTTCTAATGATGAAAGGGTCCTGGTGGCACAGTGGCTAAGCACTTGACCACAAAATGAAAGCTTGGTGGTTTGAGTCCATCAGCTGTTCCACAGGAGTAAGGTATGGGCAGTATGCTTCCAGTAGGATCTGTAAAAATGGACTTGGTGTCACATTAAAACAGCAACTACTATTGTTAAAAATTTAAATTGTAGCTAAATGTTACCTAAATACTAGTCTTGGTGTGGCACCACAGCATAAGCACACAACCTCAAGGCCAGTTTGAATAGCAAGGTGGGCAGTTCAAACCCACCAGCCTCTCCTTAGAAACCCTGTACAGGGTCGCTATAATTCAGGACCGGTTCGATAGCACTTAACAAAAACAACAACAACAAATATCATCTGTCATGATTAATTCTACAGTTACTGTTCATTCAGTGCTCCCTTTGATATAATCCAAGAAAAAGTGTTGTGTCTATTTTAAAGATTTTGTTACATGTTTTCCTGAAAGATGATACTGGTTCCGGCCCTACCAGCAGTCTGAGAGTCCAGTTGCTCCTCCCTCCTGCCCAGCGCTGAGCTGTGTGAGTCACTGAGGTGAAGGGCACTCGTGACGCCCGCTGCTGTCTAGTCAAAGGAGAGCTGCACCACATGTGACCAGGGCTGCCGTCTGCACACAAGCAGACGTCTTCTCAGGAATGACTGGGTGACCTTTCAGTTAGCAACTGAGTACTTACCTGCCAGGCTCAAAGAGCACACAAAACACGAACAAAAGAAATGAGCATCATGATCCTTTTAAATCTTTGCCAATCTGATGTTGTTCGGTACCTTCAAATGATAATCTCCTGAAAAAAACCCCATTTCACATTTCAAATTGTATTCCTTTGACTTGCAGGATTGAGCAACTTTATATTTATTGGTCATCTGTATGTCTTTTTGTAGTATTCGGATGGAATTATTATTTTGTCCATCTGTTTGTTGCTGTTGTTAAGTGCCGCTGAGTCAGTTCAGATTCTTACTGACCCTGGTATAGGTTTTCTGAGGAGCAGTTGGCAGGTTTGAACTGCTGACCTTGTGGTTTGTAGTCCAGTGCTGATCCCACAGAGCCACACCAGGAGTCTATTTCACCATTGATTTATTTGTTTTCATTAAGCAAATGCTCACTTGTCTTCTAAATGCCAGTCTTGTAAAGGCAGAGAAACAAGAGTAAGCACATGAATCCAAGCCCCCTGAGCTGACATCCCACTGGACAGGCAGACCCTAGGAAAGAACCACACATGTTCGAGGAAGCCTGGTGTTCCGGGAGCTCAGGTGGACAGGTCCACGATGCCGTGAGATTTCAGCTAGGGCCCTGGGAGAGGGAGTCATCAAACATTTTCTCTAATAAAGTGATGTGTGAGCTGCAATTTGAAGGGTGTCTTATTGTTTAACACATTGCCAATAGTTTTCCTTTTGTTTAAAGTGTTTGGGTTTTCAAATCCAGGATGATGAGAGAAAGAATAACAGAGTTTACTTGAGTAGTCAGGAAAGCTCTATTTGGAGAAATGGCATGTAAACTGATACCCAAAAGATGAGAAGGAGCCAGCTCTGAAAAGAGCTAGGGGAAGAACATTCCAGAAGAGGTACAACAAACCTCAGAGGTTCAGGCAGTCAGGGCTAGAAAGTGACTGCAGTTTGTTCAAGCTAAGGGATTAGAAATGGAGTAAGATGAACTGGGAGAGGTCCGTGGAGGCCAGGTTCTACAAAGTCATCTCTGAATGGGGACGTTTTCTGCTTGTAGTGATAGAAAAGCAGATGGCCTAGGACTGAGCCAGAGAGGTGGGGTAAAGCAAGCATCTGCTGTCACCAAGGAGAGCAGAGGGCAGTGTGTGCGGTCACAGGGGAGGGTTGTCAAGGGCGTTCCATCCCTGTCCCCACGGAGTAGGAGATATAGGTCAGTGCAGCACTTGGCAGGCCCTCAAGTCCTGGCATGGCAGGCTCTCCTGTCTTCAGAATGCCTACTCTTACTTCAGACACCTGCTGGATATTATTTTGTGTACAGTCTAGTTTCCTACGGTAACAGTAACAAAGCCCACCCAGTCAGTGGCTTTAAAGAGCAGAAACTTACGTCTCAGAGTTTGAGAGGCTAGATAGAAGTCTGGTTATCAAACTTGTTTCTGGTGGCTGCCAGCAATCCTTGGCGTTCTTGTACTTCTTATAAATATTGTCTGCCTTCCCACTGTTAGTTCCTGGGGTCTCCAGGTCTGCTCTCCCCTTGTGTAAAGACGCCACTCAGAAGGAGGGATTAGACCTACCCGAAAGATGAGGCTTTCTGCTCCCGTAAAGATTTACAGCCTTGGAAACCCTGTACAGGGTTGCTATGGGTCGGAACCGACTCGACGGCACTTAACAACAACAACAACAACAACAACAACTCTAGTACAGTGCAACTAATATCTTCCAAGGAAGCTCCTCACAAGGTCACATTCACTTGTTTGGGGACAGTGTAGAGCAGTGGTGTTTGGCACATGACAGGCATGTAATGAACACTTGAGCCCTTGCCACACACACGTAGTAGTGGGTGACCACTGTTAGAGCAAATCCCTTCTCGCCACTTTTGAAAACAGTCTTGTGCAAATCACATGAGAATTCATTAGCCAGTGATTGGAGTAGATTTTTTTTATTGTATAATTGACTTGGGAGGCCCATGTTGGTATAGAACTCTGGTCTTTTTTTGGGGACCTAAACGCGCCAGACTGCGAAGTCGGTTTTGAGCTGCAAGGCTGGCAGTTGAAGCTCATCAGCTGCTCCTCGGAAATCCTATACAGGGTCTGTATGGGTTGGAACCACTCACCGGCACTTCACCACCACAACAGTGCATTTTAGGTCTGTGGCTCAGGTTGTTCTTGAGTGAGACTGGGTGAACACAGCTGTGAAAAGATGGAATGTGGACTATTACGGAGCTACGGACAATAGGACAGTAAACGTGATTTTGCTTTTGGAATTTGGCATCATCATCGTGTACCTAGTATTGACTTGAATTCATTCCCTCCTTAAAGGCATTTGTTTTCTGAAGCTTTTCCAGATGTATTTCACTGGTCATTTTATGTGTTTGATGTTTAAGGGACAAACTTTGGAGCCTAAACAGGAACCTTTCCAAGGCCAAGAAACAGCAGTCATGATGGATCAGAAGACGGCACTGTACGGACAGACGTACCCAGCCCAGGGCCCTCCCATGCAGGGTGGCTTTAATCTTCAGGGACAATCAGCATCCTTTACCTCTATGATGAATCAGATGAGCCAGCAAGGCAACTTTCCTCTTCAAGGAATTCATCCAAGGGCCAACATGATGAGACCCCGGACGAACACCCCCAAGCAGCTTCGGATGCAGCTCCAGCAGAGACTGCAGGGCCAGCAGGTAACCAGTCACGTGACCCGCTGTGTCTCCTCCCGAGCATGCTCAGACTGAGTCTTAGGAGTGCTTGTGGAGATGCGGAGGACAGCCAGCCCGGTCCCCACAGGCTCTCCATCCCTTCTCAACAAAAGCGATTGCTTGTGTTTTTCCTTCTCTCTAAGATTGTATTTGTACAGATACTTTTGTGTTGGAGGGTGGTTGTGGTGCCACTTGAGCATGGTGTGGCGCTGTGGGATAATGGGCTAGACCCTGTGGTTAACAGTCTAGGGCTTCTCTTAAAATGCCACACCAGGACTCTCTGGTGTCTTATAGGTAGGTCATTTATATTATAAAGTCCATAGAAATTACAGCACTTTTTACAGAATCTCTGCTTTCTAGATAATATAAAATTTGAACTTTTTTTAATATTTGAAGATTTCTAGTTCCTTAATCCCCAGAAATTCTTTCAACATTCAGTTATTTATAGTTTGTGTCTGAGTGAAGGGTGGTATTAATGGGGGCAGACCTGAACTGTATAAGCAGATGAGTGAGCGACTTTAAAACCCCTTCAAGCAGCATAGTTCTGAGCGTCTGGGTAGGCTCCTAGGGAAGCTGTGTTCTTTCAGTCTTCACTGTTTCTTCCCACGAAAAGGTACCTGGGAAAAGGTGGCCGAAGAGGTCGTTTAGTCAGCGTTAATGCTAACCAAGTCAGAGCAGTTCCCACACAGGCCTAAATCTTCCCAAGAAAGTTGGCTGCATCAACCCTTTGTGTCCCTGGTAAAGACACTGTAACTGCAGGACTGTGCTTTCACTTCTTTTCTTTGTCCCAAACCAGAAAGCCCCACATGACAGCTACAAAAGGTTCTTAGTCTCCTAGTTCAGTTTAAGTCCAGGTAGCTGCTGACAGAACCAGGTTCGAGGGCCAGGAGAGAGCGTGGTCATTTTCCTGGGTGGGACTGAGGGTTTGGAAGGCCGTGCCAGGCTCACTACCTTGTTCCACTCACACCCTAACTAGCTTGTCTTTCCTCAGTTTCTGAATCAAAGCCGCCAGGCTCTTGAAATGAAAATGGAAAACCCTACTGGCGGGGGCCCTGCTGTGATGAGGCCCATGATGCAGCCCCAGGTGAGCGCGCAGGTGAGCACAAGTCTGTGGTGTTGGCAGCTCCTGGTGCAGAGCCTGCCTGTGGCTCTCAGTGAGTGTTGAGAGTCCACAGTCCCGCACCCATTCTCTCCTCCCTTCGTTTCTTCTCTTTCGCTAGTGACCGGGAGGAAACAGGAGGAGTTGGGCCTTCATGAAAGCAGTTCATATTAAAGTCTCGGCCTGTGTGATCAGTTGCTGTGCTGTGGGCAAAGCCGTACCTTGCTTTTTAAGAATTTAAAGTCACAAATCCCTAAACTTCTGTCTTCTGGATTATAAAGTTTCACGTTCACACTGGGTAAAAGTCTTGAAATAAGAAGTATGAAGCAGACAATAAATAATGCATAACCCTGCCCTCAGTCACCACCTCTGAGGTGAACTGTTTCCCATGTGAGGTAAAAGTTCTCCCCTCTCCTGACAGCACCAAGTCGAGGCTGCTTTCCTGTTGTGTTCGGGGCAGATGACTCCACAGAACTCTTCTGCTCTGCTTAGACTGCTTACCAGAAACCCACAACAAAGTATAAACACTGTGAAAAGCCCGCTCTTCTCTGTGCCTGCGTGAAGGTGTGGAGATAAATAGAATTTCTTAGGGGCTGAGCTCGGACGCCCTCATAGTCGGTGGGAGCTGGCTCCTTGGAGGGTCTCTCCCAGCTGGTACAACCAATGGCCTCTTCCTGGTCCAGTTGCTCATTGCTCATCACCTCTCCTTGCAGGAGCCATGGGTTCCTGCTTGTTGGGGTGTAGTCCATGGTGTGTATACTTCTGTTCTTGTTCCACCTCCCTCTCACCCAACTCGTACACAGTCTCAGTTTTGCCCCTTTTCCTCCTTGCAGTTGTATTTCATCATCCCTGAAGAATTTGTCCTGATTCTTCCCCCAAATCTCTCACCTTGAAGAGGGGTTTCTAACACTTGATGGCTGTTGTTACTCAGTTTCTCTCTTAGCCCCACCAAGTCATCTCCTGTCTCTCCTCCTCAGCAGGACAGGGGCGTGGATGCTTTCTCCTCCCCATCTCTCCGAGGACAGGCCCTGCGTGGTATCTCTTCTCTGATTCCCGTGCACTGTGGGCCTGTGGGATCATGCGGCGGGCTGGCTCTTCTTTTGCGTGTGTAATTGTGTTCTCTCTCGGCTGGTAGCAGGGCTTTCTCAATGCCCAGATGGTCGCCCAGCGAAGCAGAGAGCTGCTCAGTCACCACTTCCGGCAGCAGAGGATGGCCATGATGCTACAACCCCAGCAGCCTCAGGCCTTTAGCCCACCGCCTAATGTGACTGCGACCCCCAGCATGGAGGGGGTTTTGGCAGGGCCTGTGATGCCACAAGCACCGCCACAGCAGTTCCCGTACCCACCAAGTTACGGTAAAGTAGATGCTGAAATTCACCTTCTGCAAAGTCACGTCATTAAGGACAGGAGATTCATAGAACTGTTGTACACTAAAAATAAGACGACTGACAACTTCTTGTTACTGAACAAGACAGATGAATTCATTCAAATATTGGAGAACTATGATGTGGCACTGTGGGGGTCAAGCCCTGAACTGCAAGGGCGTTTTGAACCACAAGGTTAGTGGTTCAAACTCACCACTTGCTCCTTGGAAACCCTATACAGGGTTGCTATGACTTGGACCTGACTCAACAGCACTTAACAACTGTAACATAGTGCTGTAGTGCACATGTGCTGTCGGATTTAAGTATTTGTCTCAGGCCTTGTGTTTTTCGGCAGTCCTGGTGTAGTGCTGTAGGATAAGCACTGGACTGCTAATCACAAGGTCAGTGGTTTAGACGTGGAAACCCTGTACAGGGTTTGAGTTAGAGCAACCCCCTCTTTATTTGGAAGGACAACTGATGTGTGTCAGAATAGTGGAACTTTCACGGCCCTCCGCTTGGTCCGTTGTTAAGTGCCGCCAGTCGGTGAAGAGGACGGGATGTAAACAGTATGGCTGTCTCTTCAGATGGCATTCGGATGAGAAGAGTAACTGCGAGACTCCGTAGCCCTTTCCAGCTTATTATGTCACCCCAGGTTTTCTTTTGATGTGTAATAAAAATAAAATTAGTACAGAAAGCTGATATTGACTGGTCTCTTAAAAATTTTTTTTGATAGGAATGGGCCAACAACCTGACCCAGCCTTTGGTCGAGTGTCAAGTCCGCCTAATGCAATGATGTCATCAAGAGTGGGTCCCTCCCAGAACCCCATGATGCAGCACCCTCAGACGGCACCAATGTATCAGTCCTCAGAAATGAAGGGCTGGCCATCAGGAAACCTGGCCAGGAACAGGTGAGCCAGGGCGGCCAGAAATGTCGTTCATGTACTGTAACCCAGTTCAGGTTTTCATTTTCCAGCTGAGCTCATGTGGGCCTGGGTTCCTGTAGAGAACATGCTGGCTGGCTGGTGGAGGCTGGCTCTCCCGTTCTGTGCACACACATTCTGGCCGGGATCCTGAGCACAGACAGCTATGGGCACCAGAAGGAAGGCTGCAGAGAACCTCCTGTCTGATGCTGTTTGCTATGTGGGATAAAGTTGTGATAGGTTGTGTGTGTTGCTAATACGATCCTGGAGATGATTCTTGCTTTTTCTTCACAGCTCCTTTCCCCAGCAGCAGTTTGCCCACCAGGGGAACCCCGGGGCGTATGGGATGGTGCACATGAATGGCAGCGCTGGTCACATGGGGCAGATGAATATGAACTCCATGCCCATGTCCGGCATGCCCATGGGGCCTGAGCAGGTATAGGAGGCCCATTCCTTGCCTTTTTAAAATCCCCACCCCCCCACTAAAAACAACCTACTTCCTATTCTTTGGAGAGAACCAAAGCTATAGTGCAAAGGCTCTAGGTAGATTGCATAAAAAATATACAAAGAACCATTGGTTTGAGGGCCTTGGGCCACTTAGAGCCTTTTGGTAAAAAGGGGACCCAAGGAATTGGAACCGGGCAGGGATACGGGGGTGTTTTCTCTGGTACGCAGCCCCGTTTACTCCTGTTTCTTCTGGTTCTAGCAGAAGTACTGCTGACACCGCTGCCCCAGGCCCTCCAAGGACATCACTGTACAGGTGACAATGATCAGGAGGTAACGAATCCTTGTTCAGGCATCCAGTCCTGGAGTAAGGAGCAGCTGCAATCTCCGTCAAGGGTGTTCTGAGCGGTGCCATTTGAGCAGGGCTGAATTTTAAGCTGAAGTGCAATATCTACCTGGTGCCCCTTCCCCCACCCCCACCCCCTCCTGTGTGTCATGGGTTCAGGACAGATGGTTTGGGCATTCTGCCTCCTAGGGGTGTGCTTTGGGGACACAGTGCCCGATCATGAAGTCCTTTGGTGTCATTGCTTTCTGCCTTGCTATCCAGTCTTTCAAATGTACGGTGGGCCAGAGACCCTTGGAGAAACTGGACCGTCCGTTTTCTCTAGTTGCTGGATAAAGCGCACTGGCTCAGCCTTTAAGTATCTTTGTCACTACCAAGTAGTCCTGCGTTGGCCCTTTGTCTGAGTGGTGCTGGCGTCTCTGCGTTCATGTCATTGTAGTGCTGACTTGCTGTCTCTACTCTAGTTGTCCTCGGCTTCCTCCTAACTAGGGTTTTCATTTGTCCCCTAATGTTCTGTAATACTTCACCTCTGGGATTTGTCATTGATGTCACGTGGCTTTGCAGAAGGGAAAATGAGATGACAGTATTTAATTGCAGCAAATTGTCCACATGCTAATGTGCCGCCCGAGTGCACTTTATTTAAAAATGGATAAAGGCAATATTGTTGAGGTCTTGAGGAATGGTGAACCACATTCCTGGTGTTTTGTCTAAACAAACTTGTTGGACAGGAACTGTACTCTGTATTAAAAGTCCTGGTGTCATCCTTTGCCTATATGGTCGAGCAATAATGCGTTTTGAAAATAAAATTTCAGCAAACCCAAGGCCAGGTACTACATTCTGAATCAGAATTTCGCAGTGTTTCTGTGAATAGACTTTCTGTGTAAATATGACCTTTAAGATATTGTGTTATGTAAAATATGTATATACCTCTTTTTGTAGGTCACAACAACTCGTTTTTGCAGAGTTTGTGAAGCTAACTATTTAACAGTGTTGATTTCAGTACTCTCAGTGGGGTGAGGTTACAAACGAGATCACCCATCAGTTTCATATCCTTGGGGGTGGGGGGGACACAGTGAGTGGTCCACAGCTTCTCCTTTCCCCCAACCTTCCATGGCCTGCTCTTTCCAGTCTCTTAATTGAAATGCTTTTTTT